AATTAGGTAGATATGAATACTAAGTATTAACAGACTCACGGCACGGTACATAAGTAAAGATCCCATTTGTAATCCCAATTTTATATGCTGACTAACGATCAGCCCCGGCTTCGCACTACTGTTTTCTAGATCTCGACAACAGCGCTACTTACCGGGTCCGCTAACCGCTTGTGAGTGTGAGTGTTTATCAAAATTGGTCCAGTGCAGTTTGGTTAATGAAGTTATTGATGTGACAGATTCACGATTTTCTGTACAAATTTTTAAATCCCGATTTTTAAAACTTTTAACATGATGTTATAGAGATACCTAATCTTAGAGTATTTTTTTTACTTTTATAAGCAACTATTCAGAGCGCGTTAGTAAGTCAGAACAGTAAGCAAGGGTGTGGGCGACGTTATGGCGGCTACTCACATGCCTGCCGCAGGGGGAATCTAGGGTATATAACGATCGAGGCAATATCAGAATTGTCTCTACGCACATGCTTACCCTTCACTAAACACACGCGTGGAAAATGACTGGCGTCATTTATCGAAATAACAAAGGGTCGGTACAACCTTGGCTCTTTTTTATATAGAGTAAAGGTGACAAATGAGTACACAATCCACCTGATGGTAAGTGGATACTATGGCTCATAGACACTACATTAATTTTAAAATGTATTACAGGAGTCTCAGAAAGGAATAATAATACGCCTGATTGTTAGTTGCTTCCTTTACTAATTTTACAGCGCGAAAAAGCCCCTCAATCATTATTGCAAACGTTTAAATAATATCACACAATGGTTGTAGCTACCCTACTACCTATCCAAACTGAACCTAACAACAGTTCGAATGTGTAAGAATTATACAATCCAAATACTTTTATAATATGAAAATAAGTAAACCACTGTTATAAATATTACTGATAAGTCAATTAATTACAATTGTTTAGCAAATGAAAATACTTATATAATATTCTTTACATTTCTCCCAAATTCTAAATTAAAATAACTGAGAAAATTATCTATGATAATTATTATGACAATACAATATATGACTTATAATCTTTTTATATTTGTAATTCAAAAATAATAATATAAAACAAAACGATAATTACACAATTATTATTTTAATGTTATTCCTATTAAGATTTTAATATTATATTAAAATCTTAATAGGAATTATTCAACAACCACTGATAACAAATGTTATCACGTTCAAATAACGCCAACGATCTGATTGAAATTGCCCCAATTACGGCAGCTATGCTCTAGGAAGCCAGGAAGCTCTTACGCCCCTGCCACCCTACCACTGGGCCAACTTGGGATATCGCCCCTACTTGCACACTTAAAGAGGCAATTAAGGGGCATTCCACTCCTACACCCTAGACTGCCCGTGCGGTAGCCATGTGAACAGCCACCTTTATTACTAACGAAAAGTCACGCACATAAATTATTTCTCTCAACGGTTTTTTATTTGTATTTTAATTTACCACAGTGAAATGTTTTTTTTTTATAGGATAAAGGTGACAAACGGTCACACAGTCCACCTGATGGTAAGTGGTTGCTGCGGCCCATAGACATCTACATCTATCCTCTATTACAAATCAAAATGTAGATGCGTTGTCACCCGTGAGGACTAAGATGGAATGCCTCATTTCCAGTAAAAAGGGCCTCCGGCCACCTGCACTCACCAAGCGAAACGCAAAGGTAAACCACTACTTCACGCTGGTTTTCTGTGAGGTCGTGGTACCACCCCGGTTCGAGCCGATGCAAAGCCGATGCCTTGTGCAATGCCAATCTACAAAAACGATTAATAGAAGCAAACTAAAAAACAAAGATTTTAAAAAAATTACTTAGGGTGTCAAAGAGAGTAGAGAGAGGCAACAAGATTTGTTTCGTAATAAAGCGTGCCGCAAGGCTGCAAGTCTTTACGCGCTTGTCGGCCGCCTACACGCTCTCTTATAAATAGCGCGCTATTGCATAGTGCTAAAAATGTATAGTTTATAGTACGTAGCGCGCTATCGATTTATAGCCGTTTTGAGAAAAAAGAACGTCTTTTTTTCTACTTGAAGTGATTCTGGCAAATGACAAAGATATTGATCATAAAGCCAATTTTATCTAATATCGCGAAATATCAGTTAATTGACATAAAATAATCGATTATTTCAATTTTACATTAATCGAGCGAGTCGCAAGAATTTAACAAGCTATTTATCGATCGTTCGATTAAACGAATCGATATCGACCATCACTATCGGGAACATTTCTTTTTATCTAGTCGATGTATGAAAATGCTAAGACGCCTTCGCCTTCGATAGATGGCGGTTTGACCATCTGTTGGAAAATTCAATTTAATTGGTTAATAATCTTCATCGACATTTAATGAAACATCAACACAAACGAGCATACATTAAACTGTATTGACTTAATTGACACAGTATCCACTTACCACCAGGTAGACCTGGTGGTAAGTGGATACTGTGGCAATTAAACATCTACATCTATCTTTGATTAAGAATCAAAATGCAGATTTTGTGCCACCCTGAGGACTAAGATGGATCGTCTTGTTTCCAGTAAAAAGGGTCTCCGGTACTCTACACTCACCATGACAAAAAACAGCAGCTAAGAGCTGATATTTTACGATGAAATTATGTGAGAGCGTGGTTATTTTCCGGTCGATCTGACCCATTCGTGCTACAACCATAATATACATAGTTGCAGTATGCCTCTACGTTTAGAAAAGCTTTTCGCGGCTTCGAATACCACCGATACGGGACATCCATTAGCCTACCATAATCATTGAAATCACTATTAGTCACCTAAAACCCCTTGCCAATAACGCCTAAGGCAAGGGATTTTAGGTGACTAAACATTTTTTTTTATATTTATTAGATCGATATAACTTGTTGCACTTCGAACGATGCGTCACATCATCATCATCATTACAGCGTTTCATAAGTCCACTGCTGAACATAAGCCTCCCCCAAGGAATGCCACAAAGCACGGTCCTGCTCCTGAGCCACCTGCATCCATCGACTTCCTGCATGTCTTATCAGGTCGTCACTCCATTTCGTGGGGGGTTGCCCTACACTTCGGCTACCGGTACGAGGCTGCCACTCAAGAACCTTTCTTCCCCATCGATTGTCGGTTCTTCGAGCTATATGGCCGGCCCACTGCCACTTCAGCTTACTAATTCGTTGGGCTATGTCGGTTACTCTGGTTCTACTGTGGATATCCTCATTTCTAAGTTTATCACGCAGAGAAATCTCGAGCATAGCCCTCTCCATAGCTCGCTGAGCGACCTTGAGCTTCCTCATCCGGCCTGCAGTGAAGAACCACGTTTCAAATCCGTAAGTCATCACTGGCAACACGCACTGGTTGCACAATTTCGTTTTAAGGTTTTAGGTATATCTATCGAGAAGATGTGTCGTAGTTTCCCGTCCGGTGCCCAGCCGAGTTGAATCCGTCGATTGACCTCTCGGTCGAAGTTGGACTTACCTAGTCGGTGTTTTTGTCCCAGGTAGACCGACAGTCAACTTGGCACCGCTGAAAGGACTGCAGCACCGTCCTAATTTCGACGGAATCAAAGGCTTTCTCATAGTCCACATATGCCAGACATAGTGACAAATTGTACTCGGACTTATGTACAATTTGCCGAAGGGTATGTATGTGGTCTATGGTGCTAAAGCCTTTTCAGAAACCAGCTTGTTCAGGAGGCTGGAAGTCGTCAAGTCTGCGCGCGAGAGGATTCGTAATAACTATCGAAAACAGCACGTAGACGCGACGCAGAAGGGAAATGTTGTAGTTCTGTAGTTCTTCAAGAGAGCGTTGTCGCCTTTCTTGAAGAACAAGACTACCACACTTCTGCTCCACGCCTCCGGTGTAATGCCACCATGGACGACGGAATTAAAGAGCTTTTGAAGGACTTCAAGTACTGGTTTTCCACCCGCTTTCAGAAGCTCCGCTGTAATTCCATTGTCGTCTGGGGCCTTGCCGTTTTTAAGGTGCTGGAGAGCCATTCTAATCTCGCTCAGACTGACGTCCGGGATATCATCGGAATAATGTCGGATAAGACTCGCTCTTGGATCGTTCTCACTCACACTTGCGTGTGGCTCCAACGATGACGTGTACAGCTGCCCATAGAACCTCTCAATCTCACTTAAAATCTCAGGTGTCCCGGAAAAGACGCTGCTACACGCGGTCTTCAGCTTCGACAGTTGGCTCTTTCTGGCAGACAGATCCCTAGCAAAGACTGGAGCCATGGTTCCGCTCGATCGCTTCTACTATACAAGCTGTATTGAAGTTGCGTAAGTCCCGCCGCATGCATTTGGAGATCTGTCTGTTCAGATGCCTGTATGCTGTCAAATCTGTTGAAGAATGTAGCTTCATCCCCCGAGCCGTCTTACGTGGTAACCGAACCTCCACCGGAGATTCTTAATACCCCCTGCCCCGCCGTTACCATGGTCGCCACCGTGACCAGGAATAGCGGGGCCGCCGTGGACTGGGGGCCGTCTCTTTGTTACCCTTATCATAGGGGGGTATTTGCCATAGTTGCCACGCTTGGCGAGCGGGTTGGCAACCGCAGTTTTTTTATTGTAATCTTGCTGTTATCAGGAGGATGCTGCTGCCCATCTCCTGCCTGTTTCCCTTTGTCGCCTTTTACGACACCCACGGGAAGATATGGGGTAGTGGATATTCTTACACGCCACTACACGGTAATGCATACATCACACTGTAATATATATTTTCTGATAGTTCAGATAACCCATAAGTCCACTGCGGAACATAGACTGCCTTATAGGAGGATATTTGCCATAGTTGTCATACTTGGCAGGCCCGTTGGCAACCGCAATTTTTTTTGTTATTAGGAAGACGCTGCTGACCATCTCCTGGTGTGTTTCCTTTTGTCGCCTCCTACGACACCCACGGGACGATATGTGGTAGTGGATATTCTTACACCGCCACTACACGGTTGTGGTTGTGGCCCACAATTGGGATATAAAAAATAAAACATAGGCTAAAAACAAATAGTTTATTAACAAACTTAATTAACACTTAATACTTATTACTATGAGACAATGTATGTAACAAAACGCCATTTAAGTATGTACGTAGGTAAATATAATCAAGCACGTATATTTTTTTAGTTGATCAGACGTTGACAGATATAACTTTATATATAAACATTACGTGTAACATTGTTTGTCCGCGATGAACTTCTTAACAACTGAACTGATTTCAAGAAATTTTGCACAGTGGGAAGTTTGATTCAACTTGAGAGATAGGATAGTTTTTATCCCGATAAGTGACACTCAATATCACTTATTACGAATTCAAGGATTTTTTATAGCACAAAGAGTCGTTGGAGAGGGCAGAACGTCTGCCTGGCCAGCTAGTAAAATATTTCTTTTTATAAAACTGAAGTGACAAAAGAAGTCCATCTGATATCAAGTGGGTGCAGCAGTCCATGGACTCCTTCAATCAACTTCGTACAAAGTAGGCTACAGATGCGCGTCTGAGGACTAAGATGGAATGACTCAAAGCCTGTAATTATACGGGCTCTAAGCCATTCATATCGGAACACAGCAGAGCAAGTACTGAGTCTACAGCAGAAGTGTGGGGTACCTACCCAGCCGGACTCCAAGGGAGAAGACCTGGATCTGGTGCGTCATATAATAAAAATTTTCTTAAAATACAAATGTACAGGACTGCAAGTTTACAGCATTATCGTGTCTTTTTAGTCTACTTTAAAAAAGGCGAGGTTCTTATTTAGACTGTATTCATTGTATGCATATGTTACGCAAGAGGAGTTTTGGCGGAACTTGAACGGCGGAGGATTGCTGCTTTTGTACTATTGTTGAAATAATGGTTTGAAGTGTATTTTGATATGAAAAAATGGTGCGATTTTGTGTATTAATTGTCTGTGCATGTGAACTATTAGTGGAAACAGTGTAACAAGTGCTCTGATGGTGATGTGATTCTCAAGATAAGGTGTCTGTCTGCTTAGGCGTCTTGAGATACCATCGCCAACTGTCAGCTGTCTGCTGGCTATAGTTGCCGTCAAAATCTCCCAAGGCACAATGTGACGCATCAACATATTGTGAAGCAGTGTACTATGAAGGATAATTATACATTGTAACTTCAGTCACAGAAGGGCTAGAACCCAGGGCCGTAAAGCCAGTTATAACAAAATGTTACACAATATCTTCTCCGATTGTCAAGAGACTGTAATTATTTTTTAATTAAATAGGTCATACCCTATGAATAGACAAATAGGGGATTTTTGGTACGAAACATCTATTGGCGTGCCTTGACAGTAAAACCGGCTCGTATGTCGTGACGGCAAAAGGCATGACACTCTCTTACGCTTCTTACGAAGTGACGTCACGCACAAAGTGAAAAATTCAATGTTCATTTTTGTTTTTAGATCCATATTAAAATTAAAATAATTATAAATTTTACCATCAACTACCATGTTTCACATCTGCCAGGCGTCCCGTGACGGCCAACTTTTTAAATTTTTTTTATAGGATAAGGGTGATAAACGAGCACACAGTCCACCTGATGGTAAGTGGTTATTAAATTCAGATGCGTATCACCCGTGAGGACTTAGATGGAATGCCTCTTTTCCAGTAAAAAGGGTCTCCGGTTCTCTACACTCACCATACGAAACACGGCAGTGTCAAGCTGTCAATTTACGCTGGTATTCCGTGAGAGCGTGGTCCTTCCCCGATCGAGAAGACCCATTCGTGCTACAACTATACTACTAGTATAGCTGCAGCATGGCTCTACCACGTACAAAATTATTTGTAGTTGTTATCAGGAAGATGCCGCTCCCTGTCGTATGTTTCAGTCTCTTAGTCACCTTTTACAATATTCACGGGATGATATGAGTTAGTATATATATATATTATACAGGTCAAGCTTATAAAAGTATGTTAAAGCACTCCACATCTCAAACACCCAAATCAAATAAAATTACATATCATGGCTTCCATTAAAAAGAACAAATATATATATTGAAGTCATATTCGCACAATATATTTGTTTTGTGAAGACCATAGTTCATAGTTATGCTAGGATCAAGTTCTTAACAAACTGTATTTATAGATCAAAACATAGTATTAATTAATTATTAGTATAATTATTAGTGCCAAAAACAATCACACAATTTGGACCGGATAGACGGCACTTTTTTGTATAGGGCGGCAAACGAGAATGCAGCTCACCTGATAGTGACCGCCGCCCAATAACAACTGCCACACCAGGGGGATTACAGGTAAGCATTGCCGGCCTTTTAAAAAAATGTAGGCTCTGTTCTTGAAGGTCCCTAAATCGTATCGGTCCGGAAAAATCGCTGATGGTAATCGATTCCACAAGGACGTTGTAACTTCTTCTAAATCGCACAGTGGTGGACTTAAAATCATCCAAGTGATATGGATGGTATCGCGAGTTTTGTCGCAATGTGTGATGGTGAAATTGAGCGGCTGGAATTAGTCTGACCCATAATTGGTCGAATAATTAATTATTTTATATTTACACAATGTTCAGAGAGAAACTCTTAGTGCCACCTACCGGAAAGGCTAGAACAACGTCTGCCAAGTCAGAAAGTATTTAATAAACACATTTATTATACTTCGGGTGTTATCGTTAGAGTAATCCGTTGACGTCCACGCACTACTAACATTTCCAAGGGACCGGTGGAACTCTCTAGAAGTGTATAGATGTCGCTAGCGCTGCAAACACAAAAGTACATTCGTTAAGGCTTGTATTTAAATTAATATTCTGAAATTTAAAACTATATTCCTCTTATATGTATAAAAGTATGATGGGTGACCAACCAACACAGTCCACCTGTGTCTGGTCTGGTGGTCGTTGCGCGATTGTTGAAGATAAGGTAGCGGGTCAGCCCAAAAATCAGTTATAAGAAAGAAAGAAACTTTATTTTGGCACAGACTATTGGCATACAACAATGTACTAATTAATAACAAAAATACGAAACCTTCCAAATAAGGTCATTAATCAGCAGAGTTGTGGCGAAACTACAACGCTAATGGCCGAAAATCCCATGGAGAATACAGCTACAGTAAATAAGGAAGGAAATTTTAATTATGAAAGAAAAAAAAATGAAGCATTTTTTAACTCGGACCTGTATCCACCGACCCAGGAATGCGTAGCCGTCAAGCTTGTCTATACTTTGTTCAATTTTAAAAATAAGCTTAGTTTTAAGTTTATAAAAACATAAAAATATGAGCACTCAAACAAAAGCAAAAAAAATACGAACAAAAAGGGAACGGGGATTTCTGGGCCCAATTGTAATAAGTTGAAATATGGTTTAAAATAAGAGTTATATTTTTCTATTTCAAAATATAACAAAATTTGCCCAATTTACAATCTGGAAGAAGAGAAATCTTAAAAATAATAATAATAATGTTTACTTTATTTACTCTCACAAGTTTACAAAATAAGTTTATGTCACGAATAAAATAGGAAATCGATGACTTTAATCGATTAATGTAAATGAGTTTTAACAATTAAACATAAAAACAACTTACAACAGATGAGAAATCAAAGTAAATATTACAAATTATATTATTATATTAACAGTGTCAACAATTTAAAAACTAAAATAATAAAAATAAATCTTAAAATCGATTCACGTTTACAGTTCGATTTATTACTTGTGTTTGTCTACTGTATTTTTAATCTGTGCTGATAGTGACAACTCCTGCCTGACTCAACTCAATCTATGATTACTCGTCTCGTATCGTTTAGTACGTGTGTGTTTTAAGTGTTTCCCGTTCTTTTATTGATTTATATTGCTCGACCACTGCTTTCTTTCCACGGACTTCTGATCTTACTTAACTTGTACGACCCTTGCTAACATACCCAACACCGATAATCTTGTTTACTCGTTTGACTTTGGCTCGTTATTGTGGATTTTACGGCTTGGATTTCATCTATATAGATAAGGACTCAACGGATGGTTGCGTGAATTGTGGCATAGCTACTAGTCGCTGTAATACACTAGGCCCACAATCCTTCCAAAATATCAATCGCATTTCAAAATCAGCTGTTTAGTATAGGTTTTTGCCAACTTGTTTCATAACCTCACTTTTACTGAATCTCTTATAATTCTGCTCTCAGATTGCAAAAGTCCGCAGAATTTTCAGTGATGTTTTGATAATATTTAAGCTATTAATTGACACCACTTTCATCTTTTTACAATCTGGGCCCAAGAATGTATGAAAACGTATCAGTCTCCTTTTTACAATTACAATTTTTATAAGAGGTGGAAAAAGGCAAATAAAAGGTAAAAATAAACCCTTGTGCATGTTGGTCAGCTGACTTTTAAAAGCCGATATAGACGAAGATAGAAGAAATTTCTCGAGGAAAAACTTGCATCCTTGATAGACCGACCAGAAAAAACATATTATAGTATTCTACTCATATAACTGTGTAGTGGCGGTGTCCACTACACCATATCGTCCGTGGATGTCGTAAGAAGTGACAGAGGAAAACTGAAAGAGGAGATTAACGGCAGCGTTTAAGGGTCAATTCACACGTACCACAACCACACCACGTCGCAGCGACAAAATGTGGTCAAGCTGTGGTTACGTGTGAATAGTGTCGCAGCGGCTTTTTGCAGTTGCGTTGTGGTACCGACAAAATGTCGATGTGGTTGCGTTGTCGCTGTCGTTGCGATGTGGTAACCACGTGGTCATGTGCACTTATACTCCGGCTTTCGTAGAGGAAACACGACTTGACTGAACGTAGTCATGGATGAAAGGTTGTTGTTGCTAGCCTTGTTATGGCTTTTATTAATAAGAAGAAGACGACGACATCAGCGTATTCTTCGAAATAGAATTTATTGGGTACATCCTTTATTGGAAAACAAAAGTCAAAGCCAATTTCGTACTGATTATCCTAAACTTCAAAGGTTCAAGAAGAAATTTTATAAAAAATTTAGAATGAACAAGAATACATTTGACTACTTGTTAAACGAACTGAATAGTGAGTTGCAAAAAAAAAAAGACACGGCCATGAGACAAAGCATACCATCTGTTGAACGTCTGGCAATGACATTGAGGTGAGTAAATTTTTTTTATAGTTAATTATTTTTAAGTACTTAGAAAATTTTAACTTTTTATTTAAGGCATAGATAAAAATCTGTCTCAGCCAATTTTTAAATTTAGCAAAAAAAATTAGCTAAAAAGTGGCTGAGACAGATTTTTTATTTATGCCTTAAATAAAAATATATTATTATTTTAATGAAAGTGGCGTTAGTGTTGCGAGCAAAACCAGGTACGGCCTCTTAATTCATTAACAATAAAAAGTAAGATTATGATTGTGGGCACATTTCATATCATCATCATCATCATTACAGCCTTTCATAAGTCCACTGCTGAACATAGGCCTCCCCCAAGGAATGCCACAAAGCACGGTCCTGAGCCACCTGCATCCATCGACTTCCTGCATGCCTTACCAGGTCGTCACTCCATCTCGTGGGGGGACGCCCTACACTTCGCCTACCGGTACGAGGCTGCCACTCGAGAACCTTTCTTCCCCATCGGTTGTCGGTTCTTCGAGCTATATGGCCGGCCCACTGCCACTTCAGCTTACTAATCCGTTGGGCTATGTCGGTTACTCTAGTTCTACTGCGGATATCCTCATTTCTGAGTTTCACGCATATTTCATATTTCATATAGTTTACTATTATTACAACAATATGCATGTACAGTCAACGCCATATCGACCTACCCTTATCTGTCAAATTTCTGCAACTGAATTTCAACCTAACGTGTCGCTGTCTGTACGTTACGCACACGCCACGCATCCGGTCTGCTCAGGAGGTCTTTATTATTTGATGCCAATGAGTTAATTTACAACGGTGGTAGGGAGGATAGGAAGGCGAAAACAAAGAGCGTACTTATATATTTTTATTTATTTTGTCATTCAAAAATCAACAAAGTAGGTAATTAATCAGTTAATCTCCGAAAATATCCGTTATAAACGGATCATTATAGTTTGAAGCCTGAGAAGAGACGCTGAGTGGAGATTCTGGTACTAAAATATCTCTTGGTGTGGATGCACTACGCAAATTGCGAAGCTGTGGAGGGCCTGTTTCCATATCCGGCCGATACCTAGACGTTGATGGTCGCTCGTACGGTTGGTACGCTGGTGTCGTATACCCCTGTCCATATTCACTTTAATTATCATTACGTGTAGTTGTAGGTGTGTGATATTTTTGAATTACATTCAATATTTCTATCTGAGCATTCAGTTTCCTATCATCGCGAATGGTCTTAAATCTATCGTATAAAGATAGCAAAAAATGCATATCACTGTCACAGGACTTGTCAGGTTCCTGTGTACGAGTATGTGCAGTTACTTGATCGCTCAAATGACTTGTTATTTTTTTTATTAACCCATATTCTGCATCATCTTTTGTTCTTTGGATATTTTTTGGTCTCTTCCACCCGTTTCAGTAGTATTATCGTCTTCATTATCGATTTGTTCGATGTCATCGTCTTTGTTTTGTACTGGTAGAGACGATGTTGTATTTCGATTTTCAGACAATGGCTTTAAAAATAATAAGTGACTAAAGTAGTAGTATCTCTTTGAACTACCTGCTGAACCGCTTCTCTGTGAATTTTATTTTTTAAGGTCTCTGTTGAAAGACTCTCTTAAGCTTTTCCATTTTCTTTGTAAGTTGGCAGCTGAAAAATTAATTGTTAAATTGAAATTTGTAGAAAAGTAAGTTGGTAGTTAAATTTGAAAATAACATATAAAATAATAATAATAATAATATTTTACAATATCGAAATTACAGTGATCAGATCATATAACGAACTCAGTATTGAAGATAATTTCTGTATATTTAAATATCCATGTTAATAGTTTCAAGTTATTCTTAAATTTATGGCAGCCAAGCATCTTTATATGGTATGATAAAAGATTAGTTTTTCTTATACCGGTGGCATAAGCGCTTTTTGAAAGCGTAATATAATTATTTAATGTACTAGCTTCTACCCGCGTGGACTACACGTTATTTGATATATAAATAAGTAGTATTTAATATTTTAATTTCCAGTATAATGTAAGATCGATCATTTCCCAAAATGTCATCAGCCTATTGAAAGGTGTTAAAAAAGGTTGAAATATCTAATACTTTAAGGGATCGTTGTACTCTTCAACACGAGCTACTTTTACTATGGGGACATACATACCTACATGACCTAAATGTATGAAACAGCTGATTTTTTACGATTTCGTATGTGTCCCCATAGTAAAAGTTGTTCATATTCATGAGTACAGTACAATGACCCCAGTGTTATTTATTTCAACCTTTTGTAACAACCTGTATAATTCCATATCATTATTTGTTTTTAATATATTTTTTTTTTGTTACAGATATTTGACAACGGGGTGTTCCTTTGAAGATCTCGCCGATTTTTTTAAATGTGTTACTTCAACTGCTAGCAAAATTGTCTACGACGTGTGCCGCCTGATTTGGGATAAATTACAGCCTATTCATTTACCAACATGTTATAAAACAATGTGGCTTGATATTGCGAACAAATTTAAAAAGAAAGCAAATTTTCCAAATTGCTTAGGGGCTGTAGATGGGAAACATATTAGGATTATTCATCCACCACGCAGTGGTTCATTATTCTTTAATTATAAACATTTTTTTTCTATTGTTTTAATGGCCGTATGTGACGCCGATTATTTATTCGTGTACGAGGGCTGCAATAAAAGTATCGGGAATGGAATATTTCCACTGTTCCTGTCATATTAATTTTTTTTTTCATTGAAAAGTCCTTGGTTTTAAAAATCGAATACCATTTATTTATTTAAAAAAAGATTCTCGGTCTTGTCACAAGGTTTTGTCAAACTTGTTTCGTCGTTGAGAAAATGGAATTGACTCGAGAAAATTCAAGAGCGATGATTTATTATGACTTTCGAAGTGGTTTAACACAAAAACAGTGTGTTGACCGGATGATTTCTGCATTTGGTGATGAAGCCCCATCCAAAACCACAAATTATCGCTGGTTTGCTGAATTTCAACGTGGACGTGTCAAGCTCAGTGATGATCCCCGTCAAGGTCATCCAAAAACTGCAGTCACCCAAGAAAACATTGATGCTGTGCGTAAGCTGATTGAGGAAGATCGACATGTGACATACCGCGAAATTCAGGCAACTTTAGACATTGGTATAAGTCAAATACAAATAATTTTGCATGAACAATTAGGTGTAAAAAAGATGTTTTCCCGATGGATACCGCATTCGCTCTGTGAAGAGCAAAAAGCGGCTCGCGTTACTTGGTGCGTCAGAACTCTCGAAAGATTCCACGCAGGATCCTCAAATGCTGTATACAACATCGTATCAGGTGACGAATTCTGGATATATGCGTACGAACCCGAAACTAAAAACCAGTCACGAGTTTGGGTGTTCGAAAATGAGTTAAAGCCAACAAAAATTGTTCCTTCACGGAGTGTTGCAAAAAAATGGTGGCCACGTTTGTCGCCAAAACCGGCCATGTTACGACTATTCCTCTTGACGGATAAAGAACGGTTAATGCAGAATGGTATGCTAGCATTTGTTTGCCACAGGTCGTTTCTGAACTCCGTAAAGATAACTGCAACCGCCGCATCATTCTCCATCACGAGACAATGCGAGTTCTCACACCGCACACAGAACAAAAGTTTTTAGAGCAAGAAAACATAGAATTATTAGACCATCCGCCGTACAGCCCCGACCTAAGCCCTAATGATTTCTATACTTTCCCTAAAATAAAAAATAAATTGCGTGGACAGAGATTTTCATCGCCTGAAGGAGCTGTGGACGCCTACAAAACGGCCATTTTGGAGACTCCAACTTCCGAATGGAACGGTTGCTTCAATGATTAGTTCCATCGTATGGAAAAATGTGTCAAATTTCGCGGAGAATACTTCGAAAAGCAATAAATACATTTTTAAATAGTAATGTTGTGTCACTTCCTTGATTCCCGAAATGTTCAGTGCCGCGCTCGTATGTTGATGTAGGAGCCTACGGTAAAACTTCCGATTCAACTATTTGGAGGGACTGCAGTTTATATGATGCAATGGAAAGAAATAATTTAGATGTACCTGGACCGTAAGCATTTACCCCCGTAGGTAGGCCCTTGTCTATGGTATTCATTGGCGATGAAGCCTTTGGATTACACAAACATTTGCTGCGACCATACAGCGGCAAGCAATTAACAATGAAAAAAAAAACGTGTTTTTAACTATAGATTATCACGAGCAAGAAGATATGTAGAATGTTCCTTTGGAATTTTGACTAACAAATGGCGAATATTGCATAGGCCAATTAACGTGTCAGTTGAATTTGCAACAGACATAGTGAAAGCATGTGTCGTATTACATAATATAGTACGCAAGCGAGATGGCTATAAATTCGATGACACTTTATCGATAACTTCTAATTTGTTACGAATGCATTCCTTTGATCAAAGTCATGACGGGATTCGAGCAGATTCTATTAGAAATGAATTTGCCGACTATTTTGGTGAGCCCTGAAGGTGAATTATCGTGGCAGTACAATAAAGCGTGAATGGTGTTGTTAGGTATACTCGGTTTAATAAATAGTAATTAATAAACTTACCACACTGGCTTTTTTCTTTTGTTTCCTTGTTATCAAAATCTTCATAAAACTTCATGCAGAGGTTTTCCCATGCTTTGTTTTTTAATATGCGATTGGAATACTCCTCTGTACTTAGATCCCAAATGCATGGCAAATTGCGAATCTCCTCAATAAACATATCCGTGTCAAGTCTCGGAGTCGGACATAAATTTTTCGCACAAGCATGCGGCAACTCAGTACAACGCAGAATGAAAGGCGGGAGCGCAGGCGCCAGGCTGGCGCGCGCTGCTCATGACGTCAGGTCGCGGTGGCGCCGTCGCGCTGTGCTGGCGATGTGCTCGCTAACAACGGCAAAATGTGCTACGTGCAAATTGTAATATTCATTTTCAATACAAAATATACGCCCGACCACATGGCGTCGTTGTGGTGTGCTTGTGGCTGTGGTGTGCTTGTGCTACGTGTGAATTGACCCTTACTGACAACCAACTCAAAATAATAAAAACTGCGGTTGTCAACCCGCCTGCCGAGCGTGACAACTATGGCGATATACTGGGGGTATTTATAAAGGGCTTATTACATTATTCAATTTTTAGGAAATCTAATTAGGAAATTGGAAAGTGTAATCATAGTTAGAACAGTTAAGATCCGATTTAGTTAAAGTTGGAGGTCCCGACCGCTCTACTTTCTAAATTGTCTACAATTTAGGACAGTGTAATCGCAAAGTTACGATTTAGAACGACCAGTCGGCGCCCGCACTTCGACCTAAATGGATGTCTTGACTGCGCGTGCGAAATTTTTTTGCAATGACGAGTGAAACGACAGATCTGAGCAGTGATTCGTGTGGCAGCATGTCCACATAAAAAGAGGTGTTATTACAAATTACAGACCTGTATAGGGTAAATGCCCTATTCGTATAATAAAAATGATGAAAACTATTTAAAAAAGCAATGCGTAAAAAGGGCTTCAAGGTATTAAATATTTACAAATACAATGACAAGTATTCCTTAACCCAGCATATTCTCTTTTTTCTTTTTTTAATGTCCATTGTTCCCACCACGGCTAAGACAAGTCCTATTTTCTGCTGTTTTGATAAATACGGCGCCATCGATCAAACGTGCAACCCCGTGGATACTTCTTTTACGAATGTGCTTCGTCACGATTTAGAATTCAATTTAGTGTAATGTGATCACTAGCTTCCAATTTAGGTTCCTAATTAGATTTTCTAAAAATTGGATAGTGTAATAACCGCTTAAATAATACGAGGCAATCTATTGGGGAGGATTTTACCCACCTATACACCGGCTTTCCATTAATTGTAGTCACTATGTCACCGGGCTGCAGACCGCCACTGTGGACAAAAACTAAAATAAACTTCAACCCTTGGAAAACATTTCATCTCTTTCAAATTATAATCAGATTGATAAAACAGACATGAGATACCCAGAGCAGCGTGCAAGGTATTACGTCTGGTACAGCCAAAGACTTTTATGTATACTACAAATCCGGCAATTCAAACTTAGTAGCAGATGGGCAACTTGAATGGTAAATATACAGTTGTATTTTCATGTACGATTACTGCTTACTGTTTTTTTGCAAATACGAAATAAAATTACATACTTATCTAAAAAATACTTCTAAATCACGTTGACAAAGTGCGCACATAAATAATGACAGCATTTTCTTAGTGACATTAAACAAAATCAGTGTTAGATTGTCGAAAACAACATTCGCGGTTTACAAAACAAAAAGTAGTCTTCTCTCCCGCTCGCAGCCGATTAAAGGAGTTACGGAGAATTGGCCGTAACTTCGTGCGCAATACATTAATACCGTAGTGCCCGTCTTATATTGTACATAGAGTTATTTGATTGTAACTTTACCGTAACATCCTATTAAAATCCCCTACTGAACATAGGCCTCCCCCATAGATTGTCTATAGGGGGATATTCGCCATAGTTGCCACGCTAGCCAGTACAGGGCAGGATTATAGTGCCTAAATGTATGAGCAAGCACAGGTGCACTCTCTATTCTCTCACACTCATAGTCCGATAGGACGGCAAGCCGACACGACCGGATAGAGTTCAGGAGCAGGAACAACGGTTGTACGTGCTTCCCTGGGCACGGGAGTGAGAACACGGCCAAATCCTGACTGCTACTGAGCATTTCTTGACAGAAAAACCTATTAACTGATTTTAGCGCGATCCGGGATTCAAACCCGCGATCTCTACGTTTACGACTATTAGACCAACGGGGCAGTCAAGTTTGGCAAATGTCTTCCTTGTGAGGTAATTTATGGGGAGGCCTATGTTTGAACTTTGATAAGCTGTATTGAACGAATGAAAAACTTTTGGCCTAAAGGTCTAGATACCAGGCCATAAACTCCAAAAAAAAAAGAAGTAACTTACTTGTATGCCGGCGAGCCAATTATAACTTTCCAGACAAGAATGCCGTGCTTGATGTCAGTCGGCATCTGAAATAAAGTAATATATTTTGTAAACATGTTATATAATTGTGTTAAAACAAATGTAGAAGAAGTGTGAAGAGTTACGAGTGAGGTCCCAACTTTAAAAGGTATTATCACAGTTTAAATAGAGTCTAACAGTTGCGAAACGAATGTATTTGTGCAGAGCAACGGCGGGGTCCTTGCGACCACCTTGTGCCAGCGTACTCTAATAAGCCTGCTTTACAATACATGCGGTTGACGTTTTATAAAACTTATTTTAATATGAATAATATAAATATAAATCTATATTGGTGAATTACTGTTATAGTTATTGAGTTACTAAGTAAAGTTGAATTCAAACGACGGCCAATCTGTACGTTTCCCTTAATTTTCTTTCAATAAAATTGTTTATCCGAATGGGAATACAAAACATAATTATTTAATTTAACAAACGATAACTGAAAACATCTATAAAAAGAAAGTGTGACGAAAATATTTGGCAGTGCAACTCATGTAAATGTATTTTCAAATCAAATAATTTATTTGCAATCCAAGTGTACAGTCCGCGAGGCATAAGCTGAGCTTTGCATTTGTGTTAGTGATCACCAATAATAGAGTCAGACAAAAAAAGTATGTGTACATACCTAGTCAGGTCATAAGTATTGTCACACAGTAAAAACTTTTCTTTTAGAATGCTGGCCACAAAAAAGTTTATTGAATTCGAATTTCGAATTGTTCATGAAAATAAAACTGTATACTTTTTAGAATTTTACTCATTTTTAAATATGGAGTGAACGCTTAAAGAAGACCGTGTTGCAGTTATTGCGTTGCATCGTTGCGGTTACGCGCCAATTCAAATTTTTGACATACTGAAAAATTTGAATGTAACCAAAAGATTCCTTTATCGTAACATCAAACGATACAATGAAGATTCTAGTGTAGATGACGGGTCAAGAAGTGGTCGCCCTTGGTCTGTTCGGACTCCAGCAGTGATAAAAGCTGTGAAGGCGCGAATTCAAAGAAATCCCAAACGTAAGCAGAAACTGTTGGCCCTTCAGATGGGGTTAAGCAGAACCACGGTGAAAAGAGTGTTAAATGAAGACTCAGGGCTTCGGGCATATCGAAGAAAAACAGGACATCGTTTGAATGCTCGTCTAATAGACCTGAGACTGAAGAGATGCCGCGCTTTGTTGAAGCGGTACGCGGGAAAAAAATATCGGGAAATTCTTTTTTCGGATGAAAAAATTTTTACCGTAGAAGAGAGCTACAACAAACAAAATGATAAGGTGTACGCACACAGTAGGGAAGAAGCGAGCAACCGTATTCCGCGTGTCCAACGAGGTCATTTTCCATCCTCGCTCATGGTATGGTTGGGAGTTTCTTATTGGGGCTTAACAGAGGTACATTTTTGTGCGAAAGGTGTAAAAACGAATGCAGTTGTGTATCAAAATACAGTCCTGACGTACCTTGTGGAACCTGTTTCTCATACCATGTTCAATAACAGGCACTGGGTATTCTAACAAGATTCGGCGCCAGCTCATAGAGCGAAGACCACACAAGACTGGCTGGCGGCGCGTGAAATCGACTTCATCCGGCACGAAGACTGGCCCTCCTCCAGTCCAGATTTGAATCCGTTAGATTACAAGATATGGCAACACTTTGAGGAAAAGGCGTGCTCAAAGCCTCATCCCAATTTGGAGTCACTCAAGACATCCTTGATTAAGGCAGCCGCCGATATTGACATGGACCTCGTTCGTGCGGCGATAGACGACTGGCCGCGCAGATTGAAGGCCTGTATTCAAAATCACGGAGGTCATTTTGAATAAACTTTAGTGTCATAAGAATCTATGTTTTGTTAAGTTCATTTTGGTATATAAATGGTTACATAATGAATAAACTTGTTTCAATTATTTTATATTATACATGTGACAGAATTTATGACCTGACTAGGTATAATAAATGTGCGTTCTCAAATTGATGTTTGAATCCACTGTCAAACCTAAAAGGTTCCCAATTCAAATGTATTTAGTTGTATAGTTTTTAGTGGACCTGGTCGAGCCCCGACGGTTCCACAAAAAATGAGATTGACTTCATTATGACGACCAGACGACAACTGTTCAGTGATGTCTCCGTGATCGCGAGGGTGAAAACTGGTAGCGATCACCGAATGGTTAGAGGCACACTGAACCTAAACGTTAAGTTGGAGAGGTCTCGTCTAATGAAGTCAACGCTCCGTCCCCCTCGTGTTCTGTTCCAAAGTCCCGAAACCTTTCAGCTCGAGTTACAAAACCGTTTTCAGTGCCTGGAAGACTGCAATGAAGTGGACGATATGAATGACAAGCTCGTGGAAACTGTCCATGCGGTCGGAGCTAAGTTCTGCAAGACCCGCCGCAGAAGAACACAAAAACTCTCCGGATCACACTCTTAATCTCATGGCTGTTAGACGGGAGATGAAGCTACATTCTTCAACAGACTTGACAGCATACAGGCATCTGAACAGACAGATCTCCAAATGCATGCGGCGGGACTTACGCAACTTCAATACAGCTCGTATTGAAGAAGCGATCAAGCGGAACCAAGGCTCCAAAATCTTTGCCAGAGATCTGTCTGCCAGAAAGAGCCAACTGTCAAAGCTGAAGACAGAATGTGGCAGCATCGTTTCCGGGACACCTGAGATTTTGAGTGAGATTGAGAGGTTCTATGGGCAGCTGTACACATCATCGTTGGAGCCACACGCAAGTGTGAGTAACGATCCAAGAGCGAGTCTCATCAGACACTATTCCGAAGATATCCCGGATGTCAGTCTGAGCGAGATTAGGATGGCTCTCCAGCACCTTAAAAACGGTAAGGCCCCAGGCGAGGATGGAATTACAGCGGAGCTTCTGAAAGCGGGTGGAAGACCGGTACTTGAAGTCCTTCAGAAGCTCTTTAATTCCGTCCTCCATGGTGGCATTACACCGGAGGCGTGGAGCAGAAGTGCGGTGGTCTTGTTCTTCAAGAAAGGTGACAACGCTCTCTTGAAGAACTACAGACCGATTTCCCTTCTGAGCCGCGTCTACGTGCTGTTTTCGAGAGTCATTACGAATCGTCTCGCGCGCAGACTTGACGACTTCCAGCCTCCCGAACAAGCCGGTTTCCGAAAGGGCTTTAGCACCATAGACCACATACATACCCTTCGGCAAGTTGTACAGAAGTCCGAAGAGTACAATTTGCCACTATGTCTGGCGTATGTGGACTATGAGAAAGCCTTTGATTCCGTCGAAATTTGGGCGGTGCTGCAGTCCCTTCAGCGGTGCCAAGTTGACTGTCGGTATATCGAAGTGTTGAAGTGCTTGTACAGTAGGGCTACGATGGCTATCCGAGTACAGAACCAGAGTACGAAACCTATCCAATTGCAGAGAGGTGTAAGACAGGGTGACGTTATATCCCCGAAACTCTTCACCGCTGCATTGGAAGACGTTTTCAAGCTTCTGGACTGGAAAGGATACGGTATCAACATCAATGGCGAGTACATCACTCACCTTCGATTTGCCGACGATATAGTCCTTATGGCAGAATCGCTGGAGGACCTAAGCACTATGCTCAATGACCTCAATAGTGTTTCCCAACGGATAGGTCTTAAGATGAACATGGACAAAACAAAGATCATGTTTAATGTCCATGTCACACCTATGCCGGTAGTTGTTGGGAGCACTAAGCTCGAAGTTGTTGACGAGTATGTTTACCTGGGACAAATAGTCCGACTGGGTAAGTCCAACTTCGACCGAGAGGTCAATCGACGGATTCAACTCGGCTGGGCAGCGTTTGGGAAGCTACGACACATCTTCTCGTCAGACATACCTCAAAACCTTAAAACGAAATTGTACAACCAGTGCGTGTTGCCAGTGATGACTTACGGAACTGAGACGTGGTCCTTCACTGCTGGCCGTATGAGGAAGCTCAAGGTCGCTCAGCGAGCTATGGAGAGGGCTATGCTCGGAGTTTCTCTGCGTGATAAACTTAGGAATGAGGATATCCGCAGTAGAACCAGAGTGACCGACATAGCCCAACGGATTAGTAAGCTGAAGTGGCAGTGGGCCGGCCATATAGCTCGAAGAACCGACAACCGATGGGGAAGAAAGGTTCTCGAGTGGCAGCCTCGTACCGGTAGGCGAAGTGTAGGGCGTCCCCCCACGAGATGGAGTGACGACCTGGTAAGACATGCAGGAAGTCGATGGATGCAGGTGGCTCAGGACCGTGTTTTGTGGCATTCTTTGGGGGAGGCCTATGTTCAGCAGTGGACTTGTGAAGGGCTGTAATGATGATGAATGATAGTTGTATAGTATGTTACGAAAATCGATTTTAATGTTTCTTTTTTATTAAATCGACTCTACTTAGAGCATGATCCTATTTGACCTATGACATAACCACATAATATTTTATTAAATAATTTCTAAATAATTGGTGCTCAGTCCTCAGAAGCGACAGCGCATCTTTTTTTATATGATAGGGTGACAAACGAGCACACAGTTCACCTGATGGTAAGTGGTTGCTGTGGTCCATAGACATCCATATCTATCCTTAATAATGAATCAAAATGCAGATGCGTTGTCACCCGTGAGGACTAAAATGGAATACCTCTTTTCCAATAAAATGGGTCTCCGGTTCTCTACACTCACCATACGAAACACAGCAGTGTTAAGCTACTATTTTACGCTGGCATTCTGTGAGAGCGTGGTCCTTCCCTGGTGGGACCGACCCATTCGTGCTACAACTATAATATAGCTGCAGAGTGGCTCTACCACTAAAACTGCAACCTAAATGAGAACCGGTAGACACCTCTATTTTACAGATAAATAAGCGAAACAAGGATCAACGTGACTAACATGTTTAGAATATATATGATATTTGAGTTAGAGATAGACGTAGATAACCTTTTCACAAAAAACTTTACACTTTTCAAAAAAAAAAATGTTTATCACATATGCATATCAGTTTTTAATAAACTGCCTAAGAGTCTAAAAGAACTTCCATTTAAAAATTTTAAAATTAAGTTAAGAAAATGGCTAGTGGATAAGTGATTTTATACGATAGAACAGTTCATGCAACATAAAACTATTGTATCTGATTATTTGTAAAATATAATATAATTTAATACAATAATAATAAATATGTTAAATAATAATATAGCGTGACATTTTGTTAGTAATATAATAGTATTTTAATTGTTTTATATAATTATAAGTATTCGCATTTCGCATGCTTAATAGAGGCAGAATATAGTTTGAAGTATGCACCATTGTTAAATCCGGTACCACCTGTATTCTGTGCAAATAAATTTTTCTTTTTCTTTCATTAAAAAGTTGGAGAAATTTTTCACAAACCATTACAAAATAAATAAAAATCATTAAAATACCTCTGGATTCCTCATCCTCAGCTCCATCAGTATGTTGGGTGTGAGAGACATCATCGTTATACCGAGGTACCGCTTGGAAACCTGCGGTAATTTCGCTTTACCTAAAAATAAAACAATAATGTCCTACAGACCTAATTTCGGTCACGGCGGCCAGACCCAACGCAGACTAGTCATCTGTGCAGGACAGGATTATAGAGCCCGAGTGTGTGCGCAAGCACAGGTGCACTCTCTGTTCCCTCTGCCTCATAGTCCGATGGGACGGCAAGCCGACACGACCGGAGAGAGATCAGGCGCACCTTTGTTCAGTAGTCGACTTTGATAGGCTTTAATTAATGAAATAGGACAGATAGATATGAAATAGACAGTGTAACTATCACGTTTACACCAGAAATAAAACACCCAGACCGGCGAAGGACAACAGCGTGCCAAACGCGACGATTAAAATAAACTATTCCTATAACGGGAGCGTCCCACGTCCGGCAATGGCCCTAACTTGGAAGTAGAAACTTCTTTAGAATCGTTGTGATTTGTAAAATCGACACTAAAAAGAGACGAACATATATATCTATAGGATTCAGCCTGCGAGAGAATGAGATAGAATACAGTATACAGTGTTGCCCATTTTGTATAGAGATTATGCATGTGATCTATGAGCAGTAAGAATTAAGGATGAAATTTGTAAATTAGAAAATATTTAAGTAGTTACGATGATGCAACTGAAAACTTGAAGTCTGTATAATATGTAAAGTAACTTGTGTAGAATAAAATGTAAAATAATTTTTAAACTTGGTAACAATATTGTTAGCAGTTTTCTTACGTAGTAGAGCCATGCTGCAGCTATATTAATAGTATGGTTGTGGCACGAATGGGTCGGCTCGACTGGGGAAGGACCACGCTCTCACGGAATATAAACGTAAAATAGCAGCTTAATGCTGATGTGTTTCGTATGGTGAGTGTAGACAACCGGAAACCTATTTTACTGGAAAAGAGGCATTCCATCTTAGTCCTCACGGCTGACACGCATCTGCATTTTAATTCGCAAACGAAGATAGATATGTAGATGTCTATGGGTCACAGCAACCACTTACCATCAAGTGAACTTCTTAGACACACCTTTATTCTATAAAAAAAGCAACGAGGATAAAAAAATAAAAGAAAATATAAAGAAATGATGGTAGAACTGTAATCTCCCACCTGTTATAGCAGTATAAAGTATTGCGCAGGCGACTAACTAAGGGTATTCTTCTAGTGTAGGCAAGGAAGATGGTGTTGCTGAGAGGCTGGGCTGCCTTGTGTTACATTGAGATGGGTAGTGTTGCTGTTGGTTTGCACACATGGGTGTTATCATGTAATTGGGTCCTTCGCGTTACACCGGTGTGTGATTGTGACGGGAACATATTGTGTTCGAACGAACTGTATTCCTCTACACTGAATGCTTGGCACAGTGCGCTGTTTTGTAGCTGATAATGATTAATTGCGTAAGCAGGAGAGCGGATTGAGCATCCGCTCTCACACCTACGTTATTTTTCGCAATTGACCTCCAGAATGGCTTATTAATTTTGAGAATAATTTCTAACATCAGGAATGGGATAATTTCTAAAAATAATATAATAAATAAACCCTAGAACTATCCTAATCCTGATATTCTGCATTTATCTCATTCTCTCCGAGTTAAATTTTCTGGGGGTATCACAAAACTAGCGTCTAACTACTAACCCACTGGTAAGTAGTGAATCATCCGAAGATGGTGAAGCATTTAACAAAAGCCTATTCACTCTTGCCTTGAAGACATACACATTGTAATCGGATGGAAACACATATGCTGGCAACTTATTCCACTCCTTTGCTGTACGTATGATCAATGATGTAGCAAGCCGTTTGGTTCGAATGCGTGGTAAGTCGACGACGAAAGAATGGAGACTGGATGGCGTCTGGATGTCCGACGGTGTAAAGGAGAGGGAAGAATTAAGTTCTTCAATTACGCACTCTATATATTAATAAAGAAGAAGTACAAGAATACATACTCTTAGCCAAGAAATCCTTGACATAGTCGATGGGTATAGCGAAAGATATGTGGGACGTCGCTTTCATACTTATGTCGGACGTCAGGGTCATACTATTCACCCCGATAGCTTCACCATCCAAGTTGACTAGTGGACCCCCACTATTGCCAAAGGTTATTGGTGCGTCTGTCTGTATGTATACCATGTCTTTACCTGTTGAGAGAAAACAGTTAAATGATAATCCAACTCCTTGCTCGACACAGGTTACTATATTTTTTTTTAAAAAATGGGTCACTTTTAACCGCTTTGCTTATTTTAAATGTGGATTAAAATCTTTTCTTTCTGACGCATTTAACACGTGGTAGAGCCATGCTGCAGCTATATTAGCAGTATAGTTGTAGCACGAATGGGTCGGCTCGACCGGGGAAGGACCACGCTCTCACAGAATACCAGCGTAAAATAGCAGCTTAATGCTGCTGTGTTTCGTATGATGAGTGTAGAGAACCGGAGACCCTTTTTACTGGAAAAGAGGCATTCCATCTTAGTCCTCACGGGTGACAACGCATCTGCATTTTGATTCACAAACGAGGATAAATGTAGATGTCTATGGGCCACAGCAACCACTTACCATCAGGTGAACTGTGTGCTCGTTTGTCACCCTATCTTATAAAAAAAAAAACGCTGCGTGACACAGAAATTAAAAAAAAAACTATTAACAAAATGTAAAAGTCGATTTCAAATATCTAAAAAGAACAAGATTAAAGGTTAAAACAGTACCGACTGCGTAAAAAAAGTTTAGTGAAAAGAGAAAAATTTTGTACCCTATGTCACTTCCACAACTGAGACGAATGTAACGACGACACCTGATATGTAAATCAATATGTATGGCTCATATGTATGGCTACAGAACGTTTCAACGAAATATGCATTGCTATCAAAAAACATTATCGTTCTTGTTCGCGCAAAACACTGTTGTCGGAGTCGACACCAGATGTCACTCGGCTCGGCGCGATTCCGGTTTAAAGTTCGGCTGGGCGTGGCACGAGGGCGCGAGTCGCGATAGAAAAGTCAGTCGTCTTTAATCGGTGCTGACGTGAGCACGCGGTCCATTCTGTTAGGGAACTCGGAATAATTAGGCGCGGCCAGTAAATATACGGTCTATCATTGTGACGCGCATTCCTACTGGAGAGCTTCCCGGGACTTATTGTGTCTGACTCAAAACCTGCATAAGTGCATTCGGCAATATTAGATAGTTAGTGGCTTCTGTAAGTTAGTAAATCGTACGATAGAGTTAAGTGACAGTCATCGTGACGAAAGAAGAAAGTGACTGTGGACAACCTCGAAAGGCGCCCTCAAGTTGGAGCGGTGTCGACGCTCGGGCTGCTGCCGACGGCCAAGGTCTAGGTTCAATAACCATCAGTCACACCCAGCTACACACCACATCACCATTCTTTCCCTTGCACTACACAACCACATGCGACCTGACCGACTCCGGAGGGACCAGTCGCCTTGAATAGGTAAGTAAGCTTCATCCATATTCCTTCCGGTCGACTGGCCGTAGTATAACGCTCCGCCATATATTTTAATGTAATTAGAGAGATTCCACGTGGCCTTAGGAGGCCCGACCTACGTCTGTTCGGGAGGTCTTCAGCTCATGGGCCCCTGAAGATTGGATCCTTTAAGGGAGCAGCCGTAGGCCGTAACAAACTGGTAGCAGAGCGCGGTTCCGGGTTCGATTCCCCGGTCGATCCCGACCGTAGTGTTTGATAAACATTAAACAATTCTGGTGGCAGGGAGCGTTGGTTTGATTGGTTTAATTTGTATCTACAATCACGCCCGTCCGTAATACGTAAAAATATTTTTTTGTACGTAATAATAGAATTATTTTCCTTTGTTGCTTTGTTGCTTGCCTTTTTTTTGTTTAGAGGGTAATTTGAAAAGCCGCGCCCTAGGTTGTGCAAGTGGGAGTTTTTCTAGAGATATACGTCATGTAGGTAGATGGTTATTTTTACGTAATCGGTTAATTATCGTTGTCGGATAGTTGTAGTGGATTACTTATCGAAGGTTCGATTTCCGAGCTAGGCATTTTTGTTGATCGACCGTGATGTGTATCTTCGTTTGTACTGTAATTTGTATTTGAACTAAGGAGTAGTAATTGTATTTGCGTACTTTGAATTTAACTTGATTTGATCGCACTAGTATTTGTTATTTGTTAATTTGATTGTGTCTTTTCTTTTGAGCTAACTTGTATTTGGTTGATACGTAGTAATTCGTATTTGTGTAATTTCTATTCAACGCGATTTGATAGGAACTGCATTTATTAACTGTTAATTTTTGTTGTATTTTTTGTTTGTTATCTTTGTAATCTGTGCTCAAGCCGCGTCGTAATTTGTATTTAATAGTGATGACATCGCCTAAGCTACTGATCCGTTGTCTGCGGACTGAGTTGCGCTGGGCCACAAACGCCCATGCTTTGATAGGTCGACCGGATAGGGTCCATAACTTGATGAAGCGGTTCGAGCAGGTGGATGCTCGAAGGGCCGCAGTGGAGGAGGCTTACGCTGAGCTCGAGGATTCGGATGTGGAGAAGGGAGTCCTGGACTCTTGCTTTGCGGACTATGAGCAGTTCTTGTGGCTCACGGACGAGTTGATCGAGGCTGAAGGCAGGTATGCCGAGGAGGCGCGTGAAGCTCGGATGAGTAACCTATCCGAGTCCTCTCTGAAGCAGCTTCAGCCGGAGCTGTTGGGACGACTCCCAACTCTGGACCTGCCAAAGTTCTCCGGGGTCCATTCCGAATGGCTGACCTTCGTTGGTCTTTTCGACAGCCTAGTGGACGCCCGGAGTGACCTGACCCCGAGCCAAAAGATGGCGTACCTCCTGGCCTCACTGGAGGGGGAGGCCCAGGGCGTCGTCGGCCACTTGAGATTGTCGGACGACGCCTACCAGACTGCTCGGGACCTCCTAGCCAGAAGATACGCCAACGTCCGGCGAATTGCAGACGAGCATGTTAAGCAGCTTCTAAGCCTCCCGCTGCTTAGTGACCGGGCCAGACTGCGTCCGGACCTGTTGGATCCAGTCTTGGTGGCCTGTAATACATTGAGGCGGCTGGGTTTACCAGTGGGCGAATGGGCTTTTTTGTTGCTCCGCATCGTGCTGTCCCGTCTACCTCTCGACCTGCGAATCCATTTTGAGGAGAGGTACGGCGGGGACGAGGCCTCCTATATTCCGCCCTTCTATGACCTGCTGCGGTTTTTAGAGGAGCAGTGCCGGCAGATTGAGAACGCGGCGGGCACCGTTGACGACTTACGAGACGTGCCCAGTGAGAGGCTGAACCCGCCAGGCAAGTCGTCGTCAACCCCCCCCCTGCTCCTATTGTCGAGCATCTCATCACCGGGTAACGTTGTGCCCGAAACTATTAGGTAAGCCGGTTCCAGCGAGGCGAACTATCGCCAAGGTGCGCCGCTGGTGCTGGTCATGTCTGGGAGGGCACCTCCAGCGAGACTGTCCGCATCGACGGCCCTGTCTGCATTGCCAGGGCAATCACCATGCCGTTTTGTGCCTGGGTGCGAACGGCATGTCCTCTCGGGGCTCTGCCAGGCCCTCGACACCCACGGGCGGGGGCGCTCAGCCACGCCCTCTGCAGGGTGACTCTCGGCGCCCGTCGGCCAGCCACCAGGCCCCTAAGTTTGAAAGGAGTCCCTCCCCCGACCAGTCGGGGGGTAATTCCCCCAGGGGCGGGGGTGTCATCACCCCCCCTCAGCGTGTGGAGAGGAACTTCACGGCCACTCATCGGTCCGCTGGACCCTTCTCACTTCCGTTAGCTGAGTGGCCGCGACTGGTGTACCACTGTTCCCCATTTGATGGAGGCGGCCCTGTCTAGCTGCCGCCTTAGCTCCCACCACGGCCGCCTCCACTGAGCCTTAAGCCGTCAACAGTCCACTTGTCAAAATGTTCTGTTGCCGACGGCCTCAGTGAAAGCGTACAACCCGAGTTGCAACTGTTAAAGGTTGTGCTCTATTTATCTCGGGTTCACGCCATGTGGCCTCCCCTTGGTGGTGGGAAGATTAGGGCCCCCCTGGTGCGTTGAATCACGCTGTCAAGGGGTATTAGATTTGGTTTGGTCGAGCACTTAGTTAAAAAATACTTTGAATTAAAATTAAAAAATGCTTTGAGCTTTCCGCGAAATTTTCCTATTTGTAGCGGTTTAAATTAAAAGGATTGAATTTAATCTACTCTTTTAAATGCTACTGCATGTGTTTTGTACATATATTTAATCACTGTATTTGATTGTTGCGTCTGTTTGCTGAAAGGAAAATTTGAATTCATCTGAAATTGAATGGCGCACTATTTGAAAAATTATGTTTATGTTTATGATAGTGTTTAATCATTCTGCTTTACCAAGAAGTAGGGCTGTCCCTTACGTTATTGTTTTGTTTAATTTGCAAGTTGACCTATGCGCATCGGTGATTAATTTGGTTGAATTAATTCTGTAGTTGAACATTGATGCTTTTGAAAAATTAGTTGAAATATGAGCATAGGACTACTTGCCTAACAGGCTAGCTAGTTTTGGAGATTATCAGATTGAAATCAGCTGCCGCACTATTTAGTAAATGATAATATGGTGGGTGGCCTGGCTAGGCCTACTTGTTGAAAATTCATACTAGGGACTATCTGTGCGTTTCGTTTGGCTCTCCACAGACGACGTTCATGTGGAATTTGTGGGTGAGCTCTGCACTGAAGCAACTGCTGGCACGAAATTGGTCTGGGCAGCTTCGTGTAGAGTTGCTGTTTGCAGAACTGATCCGGTCGGATTGCGGAACTAATCATAGGGGCACAGATAGGTGTTTGAAATAGGTCGTCGGACTTCTGTCCAGTACCGGACTTATTAAAGTGCTGCAATGCCCAGGAGGGGCATCCAGTGGAGGCTGACCCGCCGGCTTGTCACATTAGGGCTATCTCTTGAGGCGTTGATTAGGGTTGCAGGATCTGATGGGTTGCCTAAGGTGGCCTAGTTTGGTTGTAGATTCGGTCTTGCAACTTGCCATCGCGACCTTGTCCCGCTGCCCGGTTTGCTCGCGGACCTAAATCCTTATGTCCAGGACGGGGGTTTGTTCGCGCAAAACACTGTTGTCGGAGTCGACACCAGATGTCACTCGGCTCGGCGCGATTCCGGTTTAAAGTTCGGCTGGGCGTGGCACGAGGGCGCGAGTCGCGATAGAAAAGTCAGTCGTCTTTAATCGGTGCTGACGTGAGCACGCGGTCCATTCTGTTAGGGAACTCGGAATAATTAGGCGCGGCCAGTAAATATACGGTCTATCATTGTGACGCGCATTCCTACTGGAGAGCTTCCCGGGACTTATTGTGTCTGACTCAAAACCTGCATAAGTGCATTCGGCAATATTAGATAGTTAGTGGCTTCTGTAAGTTAGTAAATCGTACGATAGAGTTAAGTGACAGTCATCGTGACGAAAGAAGAAAGTGACTGTGGACAACCTCGAAAGGCGCCCTCAAGTTGGAGCGGTGTCGACGCTCGGGCTGCTGCCGACGGCCAAGGTCTAGGTTCAATAACCATCAGTCACACCCAGCTACACACCACATCACCATTCTTTCCCTTGCACTACACAACCACATGCGACCTGACCGACTCCGGAGGGACCAGTCGCCTTGAATAGGTAAGTAAGCTTCATCCATATTCCTTCCGGTCGACTGGCCGTAGTATAACGCTCCGCCATATATTTTAGTGTAATTAGAGAGATTCCACGTGGCCTTAGGAGGCCCGACCTACGTCTGTTCGGGAGGTCTTCAGCTCATGGGCCCCTGAAGATTGGATCCTTTAAGGGAGCAGCCGTAGGCCGTAACAGTTCTTCTTGTGGGATAATGTCGGGTAATTAAATAATTTCACATAAATTACTTTCCTTCTCGAAAATAAAGATTCATCAAAACCGGTTCCCAACTGACGAAGATATCGTGTAACATACATACAGAATACCACAGAATACTAGCGTAAAATAGCAGCTTAATACTGCTGTGTTTTGTATGGTGAGTGTTCGCACCACTTTGCAACTACCGCCTAACGTTTATGAGATTCGTTAATTGTTATCCAATGAGAGTACTGCAAGGCCCATTTTCGGGTTTCCTATCTACCGCCTTTTATGCCCAGCATGTGCGTGCACTCGTGTGTTAAAACGGGGTTTTCACAAGCTCGCAAGTCACACAACTAACCGCACCGCTTATATCTCGCGTGATCGCTTCCGCCTTAGTGTGGTTTAGATATTGAACTATACAAAAAAATAACAAAGTGTATAGACATTTGCAATAACGGTATGTTTCGCGTTATTCTGTGAAAGTTATATGTATGAAGACAGCTAGCATCCAACCAACGTACAACGCAGCCCCTGTAGACACGGGGCAGATTAGCAGAAGTCCAAGTGAGTGCACATGCCTTCCTTCACGTCCTTCCTGTAGCCCTAATTTTTGGATATATTATCACCGCCTCTCCGCCTTGTGACATCCTTTCAATAACTCTTAACACGCGGTTGTTTATATAAATCAACAAACCATTTTTACAAACATTCTGGTAATCCACCTGGTGGTCTGGTAACCAGAAATTGGATCTCTCCGGCCGGGATAATTTAATTTAATTAATATTATTCACCAGTGAGTGTATACTACAGGAGACCCTTTTTACTGGAAACGAGGCATTCCATATTAATCATCATGGGTTACAACGCATCTGCATTTTGATTCTTAATCGAGGATAGATGTAGATGTCTGTGGGCCACAGCAACCACTTACTATCAAGTGGACTGTGTGCTCGTTTGTTACCCTTTTTTTTATAAAATATACATATAAGTGCATACCCCATAAACCGATCTCCTTGCTGGCTCTCTGAGCAGAGCTCACTACTCCAACTGTGACAGTGTTACTTAGCGCAAGCGGACTGCCCATTGCTACAACCTGAAAAATAAAAGTTACAAAAATTATTACGGCTCGGGGAGCAGCCAAAGCACCTTGTGGTACTACGGAGCTGTTCTAAATATAGCGCAGTACTTCGGAACTTTGATAGCGTGATTTAGACTTCGGCGTATTTCGCTTGTGCAGACAGTGCCGCCACATTTGTCAACGAATGTGTAAGTGCTAGGGATTGCCTGATAGTCTGCGGAGAATTGAGAAGGCAAATAATCTGCGAGAATGCCGTGAAACAGAGGCGAGCAGTAAGGCTCAGAGCCGTGCCGAACACTTCGCAGAGAGTAGCTTGAAGGAACAGGAAGGATTATTCGAGTTCTGCGATGATCCTTGTAAAGCTATATGGCTAGCAGGATCTGAAGAGAATGCAGACAATATCTGCTCGGGAGCGAATGGATGGGGTACTTGAGGTCGATGGCAAAAGCTTGAAATTTGAGAATTCTGAAAGTTGCATGTTCTGATCACGTCAGTTGACCACCAATTTGCCCGTGGAAGGAAGAAAAAAAGGGAGATCTCCCACCGGGCAAGGTGATCAGCCCGGGGAGCGGCCAACACTCCGTGTGGTAGTACAGAGCATTTCCATATATAGCGCAGTACTTGAGAACTTTGATAGCGTGATTTAGGCTTCGGTGTGTTTCTGTGCAACAACGTTTTCTACGGGGTAGAGCCATGCTGCAGCTATATTATGGTTGTAGCAGGAATGGGTCGGCTCGACCGGGGAAGGTACCACGCTCTCACAGAAAACCAGCGTAAAATAGCAGCTTAACGCTGCTGTGTTTCGTATGGTGAGTGTAGAGAACCGGAGACCCTTTTTACTGGCAAAGAGGCATTCCATCTTAGTCCTCACGGGTGACAACGCATCTGCATCTTGAGTCTTTATTGAGATAGATATAGATGTCTATGGGTCACAGTAATCACTTAGGCGGACGCTGGACTGTGTGCTCGTTAGAGGACAGGATTATAGTGCACTCATTACTCCCTCACTCTCATAATCTGACGGGGCAGCTATCCGACACGATGGAGAGATATCAGGCGTAGGGCTAACGGTTTTACTTGCTTTCTGAGACAAGGTGAACCGTTAACATCTTGACTCTGGGCTGCTAAGGAGAACTTCTTAACAGAAAACCCAATAACTGATTTTGGCCTTGCCCAAGATTTGAACCCGGGGCAGCTTCATGAGCAGATATGCTATATAGCTCGGGTGGAGAGCCTTGGTTACAAGCTACCAGGGCTCTCCACCTCCATGCTGTGCTGGAACTGCACTAGTCTTAAAATTCACTGAGTCGATTTCAATCCTCTTCAATACCAAAGATTTTTTTTAAAATATCAACGTTTCAATTTTATGTGATTATTTACCATATTTGCAGTAAAGATATAAATTTTAAGAAAACAGAGAAAAAGTCTTGAAACTAAAAAAAAAGTATATTGAGTATGTGTTAAGTCTGCCAACATACTTTGGAGCACTGCAAGGAGACTCTTCCCTGCTCCTAGCCTTCTAGAAATGAGGAAAGCCCTACTGGGCACTGCTCTGTTTGTCCCTGTTTGTTAAGTTATGTAAATTAACAAGCATTAAGACGCGGAACAATTAACTTAAAAAAAAACCAAGAAATTCCTACAGTATTGTACATAGGCTGCACTAAAAGTATCGGGAATGGAATATTTCCACTGTTCCTGTCATATTAAAATCTTATTAATTGAAAACTCCTTGGTTTTAAAAATCGAATACCATTTATTTATTTAAAAAAAGATTCTCGGTCTTGTCACAAGGTTTTGTCAAACTTGTTTAGTCGTTGAGAAAATGGAATTGACTCGAGAAAATTCAAGAGCGATATTTATTATGACTTTCGAAGTGGTTTAACACAAAAACAGTGTGTTGACCGGATGATTTCTGCATTTGGTGATGAAGCCCCATCTAAAACCACAATTTATCGCTGGTTTGCTGAATTTCAACGTGGACGTGTCAAGCTCAGTGATGATCCCCGTCAAGGTCGTCCAAAAACTGCAGTCACCCAAGAAAACGTTGATGCTGTGCGTAAGCTGATTGAGGAAGATCGACATGTGACATACCGCGAAATTCAGGCAACTTTAGACATTGGCATGAGTCAAATACAAATAATCTTGCACGAACAAGTAGGTGTAAAAAAGTTGTATTCCCGATGGATACCGCATTCGCTCTGTGAAGAGCAAAAAGCGGCTCGCGTTACTTGGTGCGTCAGAACTCTCGAAAGATTCCACGCAGGATCCTCAAATGCTGTATAGAACATCGTATCAGGTGACGAATCCTGGATATACGCGTACGAACCCGAAACGAAAAACCAGTCACGAGTTTGGGTGTTCGAAAATGAGTTAAACCCAACAAAAATTGTTCGTTCACGGAGTGTTGAAAAAAAAATGGTGGCCACGTTTGTCTCCAAAACCGGCCATGTTACGACTATTCCTCTTGAGGGACAAAGAACGGTTAATGCAGAATGGTATGCTAGCACTTGTTTGCCACAGGTCGTTTCTGAACTCCGTAAAGAGAACTGCAACCGCCGCATCATCCTCCATCACGACAATGCGAGTTCTCACACCGCACACAGAACAAAAGAGTTTTTAGAGCAAAAACATAGAATTATTAGACCATCCGCCGTACAGCCCCGACCTAAGCCCTAATGATTTCTATACTTTCCCTATACAGAGATTTTCATCACCTGAAGAAGCGGTGGACGCCTACAAAACGGCCATTTTGGAGACCCCAACATCCGAATGGAACGGTTGCTTCAATGATTGGTTCCATCGTATGGAAAAATGTGTCAAATTTCGCGGAGAATACTTCGAAAAGCAATGAATACATTTTTAAACAGTAATTTTGTGTCACTTCCTTGATTCCCGAAATTTTCAGTGCCGCCCTCGTATGTTACCTCCCTCTTCATCACATTATTGGACCACCACACGCTCGGCTCATCATCATTACAGCCCACAAGTCCACTGCCTCTACTTCTCCCAAGGAATGCCACAAACCACGGTTTTGAGTCACCTGCATTCATTGACTTCCTGCATATCTTACCAGGTCGTCATTCCATCTAGTTGGGAGCCACCCAACACTTTGCTGAGACCACTCAAGAACCTTTCTGCCCCATTGTCGTAAAACATACTTATTTCTGAGTAGGTTTTATAGTTCATAACGCCTCGTCAAAACATGTTAGCAGGCTTTACATGCATATCATCCTCAATTTTTTTCCCCATCAGTTGTTGTTCTTCGAGCCATATGGCCTGCCTATTGCTCTTTAGTTTATTAATAAGATGGGCCATGTCAGTTACTTTGGTTCTACTGCGGAAATTCTCATTCTAAGTCTACCGGGCAGAGAAACACCAAGCACAGCCCTCTCCATAGCTTGCTGAGCACTCAATGGCCTTGAAATCCTTCATACGGCAGAAGATCAGAGTATTCTCATATGTCAACATGTACTGGTTATACAATATATAACACAAATCCTATGGATTCCGTTAAGTGCGTTATCATAATCAGTATTCAAACGTATAGAAATAACTTTACTTCAGAAAACTCGACATTAAAATCATCAAATTAAATTTTAATTAAATAATATTTGTAAATTTTATGTGGATTGATTACCTCTGCCTGGAATTATTAAGCAACTAAATCGAAACAGCAAGTAGTGGCGGCCGGCGGCGGCGTACATCAAAGAAGGGGCGAGCGCGCGCGACATACCTGCACTAACTGCACTAAGGTCGTGACTTCATCCCATCACTCAGCTGTTATCACTTTAGTAGTCGATTATCACAACTTTTAAAATTGTATTTCGACCGATTATGGTAATCATACACAAACACTAATTCATCACTATGTCTATTTGACGACCACGAAGATTTTGTTCACTATCAGTGTCAAAAGTGACTTGGTTTATAAGAAAGCAGATTAGCCATTGACCATACGTGTTCATTATGAGCTTTAAATACACCTCTTTTAACAAAAGAGCATTCGTTAATATTAAATATGTACATAATCATGTGTCATACAATGTTTTAATATTTCGATAAAATCCATTATGAAAATTCCCTATCTAATTAATACCTCCAGAATTGGAACCAGCCCATACTAGTCATATTTAATTTCGATGAAAAATCCGCAATTCGTCCAGCTAACTCTATGGGTTTTGATATGGGTCCACATAGCACGCGCGACACACCGCTACATCGCGAACCAGTTATCTCCAGAGTGAATGCTGATTAGTAAGACGGCCAGATGGAGTAGTAATTTGACGTTTTGCAAATTTTATAATAGGAAAATTTTAAACAACGATGAGTAGTTAACGTTCGCAAGTGTCATCCGTAACTAATGAAATCACTTATAAAATAATACAATGATGGGTTGTGAAAGAAGTCTTCTAGACATATCAAATTACGTGGTAGAGCCATGCTGCAGCTATATTAGTAGTATAGTTGTAGCACGAATGGGTCGGCTCGACCGGGGAAGGACCACGCTCTCACAGAAAACCAACGTAAAATAGCAGCTTAACGCTGCTGTGTTTCGTATGGTGAGTGTAGAGTCTTTATTGAGGATAGATATAGATGTCTATGGGTCATAGTAGTCACTTACCATCAGGTGGACTGTGTGCACGTTTGTCACCCTATCCTATAAAAAAAAATTCCAAGATGCCCCCCCCCCCCCTGTATGAAGGTTATATTGATGTTTTTCATTATAAATAGTTCGTAGTTGTTATGTTGATTCAATTGATTTTCAGAGTAAACGAATCTAACTTATACGTAACATAAAATATAATACCAGCATTCTTTCTGTACCGCATTGTTTGCAAACAAAAATGCCGTGGATTACGCAGGGTTTGTTAAGATGTACGCGTAACAGAGATCGTATGCATAAAAATTTAAAATGCTCACCGGACAGTAAAATTTTTAAAAATACTTTCAAAAGGTATCGCATATTTTTAATCTGCTAAAAATGTTAAAAAACCGTATGAGAAAAATGAACTAAT